CATCCGCTGTTCCCGTTGTGGCCTCCTCTACATCGGGGAAACCAAGCAGAGGCTTGGGGACCGCTTTGCGGAACACCTGCACTTGGTTCGCACTAAACAACTGCACCTCCCAGTCACGAACCATTTCAACTCCCCCTCCCATTCCTCAGATGACATGTCCATCCTGAGCCTCCTGCAGTGCCACAACGATGCCACCTGAAGGTTGCAGGAACAGCACCTCATATTTCGCTTGGGAACCCTGCAGCCCAATGGTATCAATGTGGATTTCACAAGCTTCAAAATCTCCCCTCCCCCTACCGCATCCCAAAACCAGCCCAGCTTGTCCCCGCCTCCCTAACCTGTCCTTCCTCCCACCTATTCCCTCCTCCCACCATCTCCTCCCTACTAACCTCGCCCCCTTGACCTGTCCGTCCTCCCTGGACTGACCTATCTCCTCCCTAGCTTCCCACCTACACTCACCTTTTCTGGCTTCATCCCTGCCTCTTTGACCTGCCTGTCTCCTCTCCACCTATCTTCTCCTCTATCCATCTTCTATCCGCTTCCCCCTCTCTCCCTATTTATTTCAGAACCCGCTTCCCCTCCCCCATTTCTGAAGAAGGGTCTAGGCCCGGAACGTCAGCTTTCCTGCTCCTCTGATGCTGCTTGGCCTGCTGTGTTCATCCAGCTCTACACCTGGTTATCAAGACTAGGGGACACGTTTTTAAGCTGAGAGGAGAGAGGGTGATTGATGTGTGGAATGAACTTCCTGAGGTGGTGGTGGATATGGGTACAGTCACAAAATTTAAAAGATATTTAGATAAGTTAATGAATAGGAAAGATTTGCAGGGATATGGGCCAGGAGCAGGCAGATGGGACTAGTTTAGCTTAGGATTAAGTTCAGCATGGATTGGTTGGGCCGAAGGTTCTGTTTCCGTGCTGCATGACTCTAACAGTCGTGGACGTGTTGAGTGCTGGAGCAGGCTTAATAGGCCGAATGGTCTGCTGCAATCTCTGGTACGCGTGAGGCAGCCCTGTTCTGTCGGTTGCTCCGCTATTTGCCCCCGTTCCCTGGTTAATCTCACGGTGTCATCTGCTTCGGCGCAGAGCTGGCTCTACCTGAAGGGCTCCTACCTGAAGTGTGACCGCAAGATGGAGGTGGCTCTCATGGTGTGCGCCATCAACCCATCGATCGACCACCACACCGACAGCATGGAGCTGCTGCAGCTGCAACAGGTCAGAGGTTCCCGCGCGGGGTGCGGCGGTGTGGGTGGGGGGAGGAGGACAGAATGTGGGGGTGGGGGGAGGAGAAGTCCCAAATTGATTGGCTGCCTCCCAGCTCGCAACGCTCCCCCCAGCCGATCAGCTGGAAACTGTTCACTGTTCACTGCCCGGGTTGACTGGGGAAGAGGCCGCTGCCAGGGGTTGGGGTGGAGCAGCGTTGCAAGCCAAACTGTGTGTGTGTGCGCACCTCCAATAGCAGAGTGCATCTGAACAAAACTTTAAATGCAATTTGAAAGGTCTCTGGGCAGTGAGCGAGATCGGAACCCCCCAGGCCACTCCTCTCGGGCCAAATGTGCCGGAGGTGAAAGACGGGTGACCCAGAACTCGGTCAAAGTTTATCTGCCTGTTGAAAGTTGCGTAGGATATAGAGAGCGCAAACATTGGTGTATCTGCTCTACAAGGGCCTACTCCCAGCTCTCACCGCTCCCCCCTTCCCCAAATTCCTAATCCTTTCTCCCCTGTGTATTTATCCAGCTTCATACCCCACCCCCCACTGAGCCCCTCAATACGTACCGACACGATTCCCCACGACACCTCCCCGTGGGAGCAGGCCGCACCTTCTCCCCACTCTCTGAATGAAGAAGGTAGCTGCTAAAGAGCGGATTAGAGATGGGGTGGTTTCAGAGAGGGCTTCCTGAGCAGACGACTCCCGGGGCTAATTCTGTCATTTTTCATCCTCTTTCAGCACCTCCTGTGGTTGTTGTACGACCTTGGGCACCTGAACAAGTGAGTGTCACCGCCCCGTAGCTTCGAGAGCCTCCCCCCTACCCCACTTTCAATCCCCTGACTCCAACGAGGGCTGCACTGTAAACGCAGGCAGAATATAGAGAGAGACAGTAGGACTCCTCAGTCAAACTCGTTCATAACCTCTGCACCAACCTGCTTGGGGACCTATCGTTTTGGATCAGAGGTTAAACCAGCCATGCTCTTGGGTGGATGGAAAGTTTCTCCTTTGAGAGACACCTCCCTATGAAACGGGAGGAAGACAGAAAGCAGGAAGCTACTGGCCTGTTAACATCTGTAAGAGGGAAGATGTTAGAAGCTATTCTTAAAAGGGTTACGGTATTGCACTTCAGTATGTTCAAGCTAACCGGGCTGAGGCAACATGGTTTAGTGAAAGGAAAATCATGTTTAACCAGGTTATTACAAATCTTCGAGAAGGCGATGACCTAGCGGTTTTACCGCTGGACTGTTAAACCACAGACCCGGGTAATGTTTTGGGGGCCTGGGTTCGAATCCTGTCACGGCAGATGGTGGAATTTGAATTCAGTAAAAATCTGGAATTAAGAATGTAATGATGAGCATGAATCCGTTGTTGATTGTTGGGGGAAAAAAAAACATCTGGTTCACTAATGCCCTTTAGGGACGGAAACTGCCGTCCTTACCTGGTCTGGGCCTACATGTGGCTCCAGACCCACAGCAATGTGGTTGACTCTGAACTGCCCTTCTGGGCAATTAGGGATGGACAGCTGGCCCACATCCCTTGAACGAATAACAAAAAAAAATAACGTATGCAATGGATAAGGGTTATCATACTTAGATTTTCAGAAGGTATTTGACAAAGCGCCACATGAAATTTTTTTTTATTCATTCATGGGACGAGGGTGTTGCTGGCTAGGCAGCATTTATTGCCCATCCCTAATGTTATTGCAGGAAGTGAAAGCTCATGCTGCAGGGGGTCTTGGCATGGAAACGAATCTTTTTCAGGCCGTTAGGGTGTCATGTGTGGTGTGCCACAGGGCTAGGTGCTGGGGCCTAGGCTGAGACAAAGTGGTGAAGAGGACATGAGGTTGTAAAGAGATACAAATCAGTTCGGCCATTGGGCAAAGATGTGGCGAATCATAGAGTCATACAGCACAGGAAAGGCTGTTCGGCCCATGGAGTCTGTGCTGACCTAGCTACACGAATCCCATTTTCCAGCACTACCCATAGCCTTGAGTATTGTGACGTTTTGAGCGCCCATCCACATACGTTTGAAAAGTTGTGAGATTTCCCACATCTCCTCCCTCCTGGGTAGTGCCCTCCGGGTGGAAATTTGTCTCCTCAGGTCCCCTTCATGCGAAGATTATGCTCCGTTCTTATTGACCCTTCCACTAAAAGTTGACAGTCTGATCAGAATTGCATTGCTGGTGAGGAGTCAGAGGAGGCCGTTCGGTCCCTCCTGCAGGCTGTACCACCATTCAGAGAGAATCAGGGCTCTGGTCTCTCTGGCCAGCTTATCCCTTTCCCTCTCGATCTCAGATTGCTGATTCCATCCAACACATTCAATATGATAGCAGGAACTGCAGATGCTGGAAAATCTGAGATAACAAGGTGTAGAGCTGGATGAACACAGCAGGCCAAGCAGCATCAGAGGAGCAGGAAGGCTGACGTTTCGGGCCTAGACCCTCCTTCAGAAATTTCTGAAGGAGGGTCTAGGCCCA